CTTTCCCTATCTTTGCTGCCAACTACACTTGTCATCTGGTAGCTGCCCCTCTTGGCGCTACTGCACAGTAGTATTGCATGGCAAAAACCATGATGCAATGCTATTGTGCAGTAGTATTAGGCTACTGCACATTAGCATCACAAAAATGGTGTTTGCCGGTGCGATTGCAAAGAACTCGGGTTACTGCACATTTATTTAGTACTTTTTTTGAACAAGTACTAAAACCACTTTTTTTGTACAAGTAACTACTGCGCAGTAGTGTCTCATGTAGATACACCCCCTGATGAAGACTGAAGTAAAAAAGGTATTAAATACTCCACCCTTCTCTGTATCATCTGTAACTAGATCACCTTCTCCGTTTCATAAAGAACATATGCTTTAAGTCTTCCTCTTTCTTTTGATATACTTGTAGAATCTCTTTTTATTGTCATCTATGTCCTTTGCCAGTTCTATTTCAAATCATGTCTTGGCCTTCCTGATTTCCTCCCTGTTTGCCTGTTCAATACTATTAAAGTCTTCCTTAGAACTATGACCAAGGTTCTCCTTTTTGTAGGATTCTCTTTTGAGTTTTAACTCATTGAAGAGATCACTGTCTAGTCAGGCTGGCCTCCTGTTGGCCTTTACATTCTTCTGTTGTATAGGAAATAGCTTCCCTCTGCACCCTTCATATGGCTTCCTTAAAATACAACCACCTCTCCTGGACTGCTTTCCCTCTCAGACTTGCCTCCCATGCAATCCTGGCTGCCAGTTCCTTGAGTTAGTAGAGGTCTGCTTTTCTGAAGTCCAGTGTCTTTTGTCTCCTGCTATCCTCCCTTCCTCCTCTTGAATTCTATCATTTTGTGGTCATTGTCACCCAAGCTCTCTTCCACCTTCACATTCTCAACCAATTCTTAGCCTGTTTACAAGCAGAAAGTCAAGAAGTGCTTCTACCCTAGTCAGCCTCTCTACTATCTGTATGAAAAAGTTATCATACAGATATACTTGTATCAAGTTATCATGTGTTGGGGTCTGTTATCCCCAACACAATCCAAGAATTTGGTGGACTGTTTATGCATTGCTTTATTTCCCTTCCAGCAGATGTCTTGATAATTTATATCCCCCATGAGAACCCAGTCCTGTGATCTAGAAGCTTCTTTCAGTTTTTTAAAGAAGGCCTTATCCATGTTCTCTTCCTGATTTGGTGGCTTGTAGCAGATGCCCACCATGACATCTCCATTCTGACTGTTACCCAAAGGTTTTCACTAAACCAACCTTCCACTTTGTAAGACACCTCAGATCACATGTACATTGCCTTTATAAATAGTGCAACACCTCCACCTTTTTTCCCCTGGCTGTCATATCTGAACAAGGTATACCCATCTATATCCCAGTCATAGCAGGGCAGGCCCTATGAGGGGAGGCTGTGGGACCTGAACCTGTTCAGCCTCCACAAGAGAAGGCTGAAAGGGGAATCTGGTGGCCGTCTATAAACTTACCAAGGGGGACCAGTGAGAAATGGGAGAGACCCTGTACCCCTGATTGCTACCAGGAGTAACTAGGAATAACGGCCATAAGTTGACTGAGAGTAGGTTCAGGCTGTACATCAGGAAGCACTACTTCACAGTAAGGGCGGCTAGGATCTGGAACCAACTTCCAAGGGAAGTGGTGCTCGCTCCTACCCTGGGGGTCTTTAAAAGGAGTCTAGATGAACACCTAGCTGGGGTCGTTTGACCCCAGCATTCTTTCCTGCCTATGGCAGGGGTTGGACTTGATGATCTGCTCAGGTCCCTTCCAACCCTACCAACTAAGAAACATTTCTATGAAACGTGAACTATCCCACCATACCCTGATACATCTCGGTTCCACTGTACGTCTACATATATCTCCAATCCACCTATTAAGTGTATAAGTGGACTTAGGTGTCTAAGTGCAATTCTATTCCACACTGCTCAAGTCCTTGCAAAGCTGTCATTACAAAAGGTATTGTGTATCCTCTTCACTGCTTTTTTCATGACTCAGCTTAAGGGTTCAGATGATGGTATTTTGAAAGCAGCTGCTCTAATGAATATTCAGGGAATTAAATTAAGTGCCTAAGAGCAAACAAAATTGCTCTTAGGCACTTAGGTCCACTTAGCCATCTGAAAGGTGGAACAGAAATTTCTATGTGCATAAAAATTAAAACTTTGAAATTAAAATTTTGAAAGGTCCACAGTCTTACATATGCCACTTAAGGGGCGTGTCTATATGTGCATTAAAGTGGCGTTGTTATAGTGCATTAAGTTTACTACCTCTAGTATGAGGTACTAAGTGTGCAGTAACCGGCACTACTGCACAATAGTACCAGCACTCAATCTTTTCATGATGCTTAATGTGCAGTAGACTAATTATACTGCTTATTAGCATGGCTTTTGCCATGACACACTAATATGCAGTAGAATTAGTCTACTGCACATTAAGCATCTCATGTAGATGTGCCCAGGGTGGGGGGAGGAGGTAATAGTTACAACAAAACAAAATGGCTTTTCGATTCATGAAGAGTTTTACACTAGCAATATATTTTTCAATGTTGTTAGATTCTAGAAAATGTACATGTTTGAGGGATATTGTCAAGTCTCATCATTTCAGACCTTCTATCCCTGAAAATAATATAGTTTCTAATTATGTATTTTACAGTGTATAAGTCAGGTTTTGAAGCCCAATTGTTGTGTCTTAAAAATCAAATTCAACTTATACACCATGCTGGCTCTGCTCACAGGGGATGGGGCTGTGCCAGCTGAGCACTGAGCCCAGCCCCATCCCCATCCCCTGTGAGCGGTACCAAGCCCAGCACTGCTCACGAGGGATAGAGATGGGATGGGATGGGATGGGGATAGGGACGGGGACAGGAGCAGGGCTGGGCTCGGTGCTCAGCTGGCATGGTCTCATCCCCTGCAAGTGGCACAGGCAGCACCACTCACAGGGCATGGGGCCAAGCCTAGCCAAGACCAGCCCTGTCCCCATTCCTGTCCCTGTCCCCATCTCCTGCAAACAGCACTGGGCTCAGTGTCACTTGCAGGGGATGGGCATGGGGTCGGGCTTGGCACTCAGCTACCATGGCCACACCCTCTGTGAGCAGTGCTGCTGGCACCACTCACAAGGGATGGGACCACACCAGCTGAGCGCCAAACCCAGCCTCGACTTGTACATCATGCCTGTGAAAATCTTTACCTTTCAGATTGGAAAGCCAGGGCTCAACCTATACACTGTGTTGACCTATATATAATGAAATATAGCAAATCCAGCATGCAAATATATTTGCATCAAATTTCAGGCCCCTTTTCAGCAGAAGAGATCATTTGACTGTGTCACTCCTCTTATGAGGACATTAGTTCTTGCAGTTGAAATTTTAGAGTGAAATCCTGGTTCTGTAGACTCAAATGTCAAAACTCCCACAGATTGCAACAGGACCAGGTTTCACTCCTACATTATTTTGACTTTTCTTTTACCATATGACTAACGCTATTTTGACTTCACTTATAATGTAATGTATGATTAATGTAAATGTATCACAATAACACTCCAAATTAAAGGAAATACAAAGACATTCTGGTGATGCTGATAAGATCAATGTGGATTTATAATGAAGTTAGTGAGCAGAGAACTTCTAGTTTTTACCTCCACACTAAAATGAGAGAGGGGCCAAAACTGAAACACTGCATCCAAACATCCTAAATTTTGGAGCAATTTAAATTCAGAGCCAACTCTGAAATCTGCAGCCTGGGCATCTTGTCAATTAAAATAAAATTATTCTTTTGCTAAGGGGGAAAAGAGCTTTTGCATCAAGTTTCCTATGCAGTTCCATTTTTTATTTTTACAGCATACAGTGACAAAGCCTGTATCTGATAGCTAACAGAGAGGTTAAATGCAATGGGTGGAAGAACCACAGTTTAATCTAATGTACTGTACCAATTACGATGGTAAATAACAGAGTTGTGTCATAACTCTTAAAGTAGACACAGAGATTGCCATATCATTCGCTCCTTTCTCCAGTCAATGAGAACTCTGTTTTAGGGTTATACTCTTATATCTTAGCTTGGTTATTAGAGGGAAGCTATATCAAAGAAGTAGCTTTTTATTTTCTAGTACATATTAGACCATCTATGCATAATGCTTATATGTAAAATTAAAAGCTTCAAAATTAATAAAATGCAAACTGACACCCTAAAACTGCCAGTCTATAAAGTCAATTCTTTGGGGAATAGGCATTGCAGAAAAATCATGATTTTATTTGACATTTGAGGTATTAATTATCCTTTCTGGATTCAGATGAATGTGTACCTCTACCACATACCCATCTTTTTTTTTACTATTTTCCCATGAACGTTGTCACCTGTTGGTTCTTTTGGCGAGATGTTGTCCACATGCACAAATTATATTATAGCCTAATATATGAAACGGTAGAACAGTATTTTCCATTTTTATACACAGCGCCATCTAGTGATCAAAGTATTCGTAATGTCTAATGAATTTGCTAGCCTGTAGCAATGGTCACAATGACCTGAAAAAAGTTAAGGGCCTGATTTTCCTCCTCCATACAGCAGTGTAAATCAGGAGTAACTCCATTATAGTCCATGGAGTTGCATCAACCGTTAAGTATCTAATTTATAAATGCAACTTGTGAAAATTACTTTGGTTC